CGTTTCCGTTGGAGTAAGGGACATATGCTTGGACACATTGTGTTGTGGCATTCAAAATTTTGTAGTGCTTTTTTGCGGAAAAGAAAGCCATGGTCGGTTCCAACGGACAAAAAAAAAAAAGTGCCCGATAGGAAACGGACATGAAAGGCTCTGTCATTGCATCTAAAGAAAAATGATTGGCTAACTCATTTTTGGCGCAAATGTATTCGTGGATTATGAAGTCTTTTTAATAAGACAGCAAGTTTAGCACTTATTTCCGATGATTGATTGGCAGGTGCTCCTGCTCCCTCATGTTTGGGGCATTATTTATAATGCAGGATAAAGATCTCAATGAATACCGTCCATCCAAGTCGAGCACGAGCAAGCATATATCTTGCAGCCATAATTTGTGCGACTCAGGCCAAAGCTGCCAAAGTCCGAAGCAGTCATGCCCTTATGTTATTGACTACACCACTGAAAATACTTCTAGTTCAGGATTACTAATTCAGGATGTATTGCATCTTTCATCCGGTTGTGAGAATTCCTCTAATTGTACGATTCAGGCTCCTGTCATTTTAGGGTATGACCCATTGATCCTATATTTTGTAACTCTAATTCTTTTCTCTGTATGCCAACTGCAGTAATGAGGAAGGTTGCTGTTTTTATATTACTCTTTTTTTCTCTCTAATACAGATGTGGTATGAAACAAAGCGGCGGTTATCTGAGTGGAGTGGCTCCAGATGGTCTTTTTGGATTGGGGCTAGGGGAAATTTCTGTTCTTAGTTCCCTTGCTAAAGAAGGATTAGTACCGAACTCTTTCTCACTGTGTTTTAATGAGGATGGATCTGGCAGAATCTTTTTTGGGGACGAGGGACCAGCAAGTCAACAAATGACTTCATTTGTACCGTTAGATGAGAAATAGTAATTACCATACTATATTATCTTCATGTTTATGGTCGTGGTTTGTATATATGCTGACTGAAGTCTTTGTCATACCTGAATCTCTCAGTGAAGCCTACATTGTCGGGGTGGAAGCATGTTGTATTGGGAATTCGTGTCTCAAGCAGACAAGTTTTAAAGCATTGATTGATAGTGGAACGTCATTTACATATCTTCCGGAGGAAGCATATGAAAATATTGTGATGGAGGTACATTCTTTTTTTGTAGTTGAGCGTTGTACTTAATTCGTAGTTCGTTTGTCCTTAACCAGTTCTTCTTTTGATAGTTTGATAAAAGGTTAAATGTTACAAGTACCGTCTCCTTTAAAGGTTATCCTTGGAAGTATTGCTATAAGATCAGGTGACATCAATGAGATGGAAGATCTTTATAAGATCTTTTTCCCCTTACATCTCCCTTCCTTGCGCATGTCTAATGTTAATGTTCGGTTTTTTCCAACAGTACAGACGCAATGCCAAAGGTTCCATCTGTGACATTGTTGTTCCCACTAAACAATAGCTTTGTGGTTCATGATCCTGTTTTTCCTATCTATGGCGATCAGGTAGGTGAAGTTGCCTTCTGAGAATTTTCAAGTGTACATGATTTGATTTTGTGAATGTGGGTGAAGATGTGGACTTGATAGTTTCCACTTTTAACGGGCATAAAAGTACACCCTTAAGCATCAAACTTGGAATCGTAGTAGTGAAATTGATACTAAAATGGTACTATGGATACAGGGGCTGGCTGGATTTTGTTTTTCTATACTACCTGCTGATGGAGATATTGGAATACTGGGACGTAAGCTCACAATGTGTCCTCAAATATAGATTGCTATCATATGATATGATGTGCTATATGCATAGTAAGTTGTACATCTAATGAAAATGGTAATCTTGAAAACTGTCTTATGCAGAAAATTACATGACCGGATACCGGATGGTATTCGATAGGGATAATTTGAAGTTGGGTTGGTCACGCGCAAATTGTAAGATTTCCAACTCCTAGTACTTTTCATGGATTTGCATTCTCTTAACAGACGCTCCATCTTGTGCATGATAGACCTATAGAAATTTTGTGAAATCCGTCTGGACCACTATTTTTGTTCTGGCTCCGTTTGATATGGGTTGGTTATTTGTATTGTCCATTGCATATCTTTTCATTTGTTCGATGAGAGTATGGCTTTAACTCGTTTCTTGATCATATGTAGCGTTAACACGTGACTTAGTGACCTCATCTCTTAGAGACAAGTCTATATTTGGGTTTACGATTAGGAGTATCCTCTTCCCCCTTATACTATTGCGAAGTTCCATTCTCATTTCAACCATGTCCATGTCGAAGGTCAAGATCTCAGTAATGACAAGGAAATGCCCATTGCTCCTGCAAAAGAGACACCACCAAACCCATTACCAGCCAATGAGCAACAGAGCGCTCCAGGGGGACATGCGGTGGCTCCTGCCATAGCTGGAAGGGCCCCCTCTAAACCGTCAGCTGCCGCCCCTTGCATCATGCCATCCAGCTTTTACTCAATCAGATTGCCGCACCTGATTCTTCTGGTCCTCTGCCTTGTTTCGACTTGTGTGTGATGTAGATTCTGAGCTTATCTAAGTCTTACATGTAAATGAAGGTCGTCTCCTTACATCTCCCCCTCAGCAAGGACATGTAGATCTTTTGTGTCCTTGCAAGCTGCATCGATGGCATTTTTTTTCTTCTTCTTTTCTTTCTTTTTTAATATATATTTTTGGGCATTATATGAGCCATCCAGTGGGGGCTGATGATCTTAGTTGCATTTTTGGTTATGTAGCAGCTTTACCTTCTATCTACATGTTTTTCTTTACGAATATATATTACCTTTAGTTGGGATATCTTGTTGGGACACATTGGGAACTCCTTTGTCTTTCAGCTCAGTGTTCCAATCACAAATCTTCTCAAATTTTCATTATGGTTATCGGTGGACAAACCAAGAACAGTTAGGCCTTTTAGATGACTACTCAAAACTGTTCACCATTCAATAATTGTATCTGCTTCACAAATAGAATTGAAAGTATATGTTTATTTGTAAATTCTCTTTTTTAAAGAGACAATGTAGCGAAACCTTTTAAATTTTGTGAAGAATTCAGATCTTTTTGAAAAAGTAAATTATAAAATCAAGTAATCAAGTGCCAAAAAGCCCAATTCCTAAAAAGAACAAAAAGTTAAAAATTAAATCATTACAAAAAGGATTCCATTTATTCATTGGGTAAAACCAAACCTTTCATTTTAAGAGAATTTTCCTAAAGCTTGGGAAGTTTGTTCAACTCAATTTTCCTAAAGAACAAATTCATGTCTCTATGATCTATATCATCTATTCTTTTAAGTGCAATCCAAAATCAAATCATACAAGTTCTAATTTTGTCACTTCCAACTTCATAGATATATTTAAATCATAAAACATCGTCTTAAAGAGAAATTATTAAGAAGGGTATAAATGGAGAAATTATTAGATGAAATCATCATAATGTGATTGACAGTTTTTCACAGTTGAATGTATGAAAAAGAAGTACCTCAAATTTACGTCTCTAAAAGAAATTATTAAGAAGGGTATAAATGGAGAAATTATTAGATGAAAGCATCCTAATGTGATTGACAGTTTTTCACAGTTGAATGTATGAAAAAGAAGTACCTCAAATTTACGTCTCTAAATCTAACAAATATTATAAAATTACGACCCATTGATATAATAATTTAGAAATGGAAGGTAAAATGTATAGTTTCACCATTCTAAAAAGTTGTTCCATTCAAAAGAATAAATAAAGAAAAAAGAAAGAGAATGCCATTTGTGTCCAAAATTAAAGGTACAAGAAGACGGATGGTTCGTGAATCCACTTCATTGGTTGAAGAGAAGAACGAAATATTCTTTATAAAGGTGTGAAAACCTATCTCTAATAGACATGTTCTAAAATTGTGAGATTGACATCAATACGTAGAACTAAAGATTACAAAAAAAAAAAAAAAAAATATATAGCTCTTCATATACATTTGTTTTAATGACTTCATCATCTTAAAAATCATGCCCTTTTCAAGTAAAAATGTGACGTCCACGGCAACAAAAAACCAGGCTTCCTAAGAGAGATTGTTTCTGGTGATTAGGGGGCCACAACCAAAACACAGCACTTTGCCTTTGTTCTTCAATCCCTCGCCCAAATGCCTATATAATATGGAGGCCTGTTTCATGTAACCATCTCAAAACCAGAGCGAGACACAGAGAAAGCATTCTTTTCTTCAACTTAATTTGACTTTTGCATTTCCCCCCTGTCCAAACACTGTCTTCTTCTTCCTTTTTCCTCTGGGTTTTGCTTCTGTGAGCTTCTGTACCTTTCCCTTTTCAACTCTATCGATTAAAGAGCGAAATGGGTGTTGGTGGGACTTTGGAGTACTTGTCAGATTTGGTGGGTAGTAGCCATAATAGACACAACAAGAAGAAACAGCTTCAAACTGTGGAGCTCAAGGTCAGAATGGACTGTGATGGCTGTGAACGTAAGGTCAAGAATGCCCTCTCTTCACTCAGTGGTATGTCTAAAGAAACTCCTCTGTTTAAGTAGCTAAACTTGTCCATCTCAAGAGGGAGATTGCTAACGAAATGAAGTGTTTTTTTTCTACCTTTGAAGGGGTGAAATCTGTGGAGATAAACAGGAAGCAGCAGAAGGTGACAGTTGCAGGGTATGTTGACGCAAACAAGGTGCTGAAGAAGGCAAAGTCCACAGGGAAGAAGGCGGAGATATGGCCATATGTTCCCTACAGCTTAGTGTCGCAGCCTTACATTGCTCAGGCATATGACAAGAAGGCACCATCAGGGTATGTCAGAAATGTGGAGCACACTGTCACTACTGCTTCTGTTACCAAATATGAAGACCCTTATAGCAACATGTTCAGTGATGACAACCCAAATGCATGCTCTATCATGTAACTTTTTTCTGCTAAAACAAGTCTCGTGTTTGGGCCTCTCTCTATCTCTATCTCTCTTCTGCTAAATTTCTGTCAAAAAACCAATGATTCTGGTAATGATATGTATGGGTTGTTAGTTGTTAACAGCTGATGTAAGAGATTACCTTATTACTGATGTTTAAAAGGATGCATGATGTTGTAATTTCCTGTTTGGGAGACGACTTTGCCTTGTCCATAGCTGTTCTTTCACCTGAAAAACAAGATTCCAACCTGGTCATTTACTGTTACAAGAAAAAAAGGAACTCGCTTCATAAAGGACTGGAAACCATTAAGTTATTGAATTATGAAGAAGCCGTATGTGTGAGATCCCACGTCGGGGAACGAAACATTCCTTATAAGGGTGTGGAAACCTCTCCTTAACAGGCGTGATTTAAAACTATGAAGCTAACAGTGATATATAACAGGCTAAAGCGGACAATGTCAGCTAACGAGTGCTTGGATTGTTTACAAATGGTATCAGAGCCAAACACCGGGTGATGTGCCAATAAGGACGCTGACCCAAGGGGGGTGGATTGAGATTTCAAATCGGTTGGAGAGGGAAACAAAACATTCCTTATAAGGGTGTTGAAACCTCTCCCTAACATACGCGTTTTAAAACCATGAACTGGCCTTTCGTTTTGAAAGAGCCTAAAAGATTTGAACACAAAATTCAAATTATTTCAAACTGCATTTGGCCCCAGCAAAGGAAGCAAAAGGTAAGTGCAGAGAATAAAATTACCAAACCAAGCCTGCCTTACCTTTTCTCTCTCTTCACCAAACGTGAGGAAAGAATCCTGCTTTCTTTGCTTTTGGCTTTGGGAACTTTTTTTTTTCACCCGGTTAACCTTTTTCTCAGATCCAAAGGTAGCATAAAGAGACACCGCAGTGAGAAAGAAAATAAGGGTGATTTGGATGTAATGATCTTGTGTTTATTGACAATTCAATCATATTAGAACAGAATATGTTCAAACAAAATGCGCCCATTAGATTCCATTTGAAGAAAGTTACTGAACTACTCAGAAACAGGACTTACTTTTACAAAGTAAAGAATAGTATCCCTGCATGGAAATACAGTCATAAGCTTGTAAACACCAAATACATGGGTTTGATCAATTATGTTTGAAATCGAGCAATTTCAACCATGCCAATCTGGGATTTTCACCTATCAAAGACTGCCAGTCCTGGTGGGAAATTGGAGAAAACCATGTATATTCTACCTTGAAAGTCAGCTCGGGTTCCACATCCTTGGAAAATCCAAAGAGACATGCACATATTTGGGCTCTGTCGTTTAGCTTAGACTTAAGTTCTGGCTAAACGAGGGGGAAAAGAGTATGAACATAAGATGCCCTTATGCCCCAACAGACCTGTTTTAAAAACCTTCTTTCTACATCTTTGAGCATACAAACAATTGGGATTTGTGGGAGAACTAACTGCTCCAAAGGTCTCTTAGAACATAGCTGCATCTAGGGAGATGAATGTCTATCAAGTCAATGCAGCAAGGTGCCTATTTTATTAAGATGGAACATAGAGAGACGTGCCTCCATCCTAGACAGGCTATTCTGACCTCTTAATCAATATAATTGTTCTCGAAGCCTGTAGCTGCTCGCTCTTAAATAAATTGGCCAAACTTTTCAAGCTCTTATGCAACTGAGGAAAGGGTATTGGAGAATTAATCATTACCTTACCAACACCAATACGCAAGGTGAGAGGTCTAGCACGCTTATAGCTGCTGTCAAACACTATCCTATCAGCAAACCTTGCAGTTTAGTGAACCTGTATTTGAAAGGTAATATAAGCCAAAAACAATTCATAAAATCCTTTGGGCGTGGAGGGGGAAAAATTAAACGATTCATTAGCAACTTGCAACACATCATATAATGATTCATATGAGGGAATTTCAAGCATTGCAAGAGAAGTTGGATAGAAACAAGCAGTCATGTAAGGCAATGCTTGAAAATTTTGATCATGAGAAGAAAACTAAAATGGGAAATTACTTGGAACTGACATTGCTAAGCTCACCATAAGGAACTTCCTCATCGGATCCCATGGCGATGAAGCAATAGCCAAGCCCGGAAGGCACATAGTTGGAACTCGCAAAGGGGTTCTCCAACAGTGGCATAGTATTCAATTCTCGTAGCGTTGGCATCCAAGGGCGACAGAGCCATAACCGACGCAGCAAGAAACAGAAGAAGAAGAAGGAGTGGGTTTAATAGCGGAAGATTATTTGGGGCTGAAAATTTGGGAAGCTTGGGCTCATGGGGTTGCCATTTTAGTATGATCAGATTGTGCTATTCGGCCTTTGAGGTTGAAATGAAGGTGGCTATGGCAGCTGTGATGCCAAGTAGTGGTTTGAAATAGCGCGAACATGGATACGGCGAAGTGCAGGGCCCCACAAGTGGAAATTTTGGGCCATTGGATTTGGATAAGAGCCTCTTAGGATGGAAAGATTGAGTTGGGCTTTTTGGGCCACCCCATTCCTTGTTACAGCAACAAATAAAAAGACTAAGGCCTTAAGAACCTCTTGCTCTCCCCGCACCCCATTATGGAAGTAGGCAAATTTCCAACCTGGTCAATTCCTTCTTCAAAGACAACTCCCATTCCCATAAAGAAATGGGCGTCGATGTGGCAGTGGAAAGCCCAAACTCCGGGGTTGTCTGCTACAAATCTCAAGGCCGTCCATCCATATGGGTGCAGCGCCACCGTGTTCTTCATTATCGGGTTCTCCAAATTGTACTTGCTTGGGTCTCTATAGATATCGAATTTCCCTTCCCCGTACCCCAAAACCCAGAAATCGTGCCCGTGCAGATGCCAAGGATGCGTGTCGCTGCTGTTTGGGCTCATCATGTTAGCGTTCTGCAGAATGATGTCCACCGTCGACTTGAACTCCAACCGGAATATGGCGTCGCTCTCCGTCGCTTCCTGGTTGGGGGCCGGATTGAAAATGTCGTAGTTCTTGAAGTCGTATCCCGTGGGTGGTTTGGCCTGGCTGAAAGTGTGGAGAAGATTGTGCTTCAGGGCAATAAGGTAAGGGGTGTGGGGCATATTGAAGGACACGTTGTTTAACGACCACCGGCGGCGACCCTTCACGGTGTTTTGGGTGTTGAGAAGCACAATCACTTTGTCAGCGATTTTTGGCGGCGGGTGGATAAAACCTTGCCGGGCTTTGATGGCGTGGCTTTGAGCCAATCGGGGTGCAACATCGTTCCAAGCAGGTCCTGCAGGAGGAGTTGTGGGAGGGAGTTTACGCCGGTGATTTGGGTAGTAATTGAAAATGGCCAAACCAGGGGGGGTGGTCCTAGGTCGGCTGACCACGTTGGTTGTGGCCCAGTAGTTTCTGGACGGGTCTTGGTCGGCTTTTATCAACACCGAATATGTTTCTCCGGAGTATATGAACAAGTTGTTTACTTGGAATGGCTCGACGTAATGCCCATCTGCTTCAACCACAGTCATGGTGTGACTCTGTTTCCAAAACAGAGAGTTTGAGCCATTTTGAGAAGAAATTCGGGCAATTAAACTAAGTAGATGACCTTAATTACCTCAATTTGGAAACTGAGAGCTGATAGAGAAGTAAGACTGGATACCCTCAATCTGTAAGTTTTTCCTGGTACGACCGTGAGTGGATAAGCAACACATTGTGGGCTGGATGAGTTGCAGGTAGCAGAGGCTAAACCGGAAGAACCCAACAGAGAGCATTTGAATCTCCCTCTTCCTTGTATCAAAAGTGACTGAGAGAATGACGAACAAGAAGAACCCCACATCAGTAAATGAATCAATTCCAATTAAATAGTAGAAATGAGTGGTGGGCGTTTTGAATTTACATCAGGCTCTCCGACCCATTGGAAGCCAGGGTCAGGGGTAGCCAATCCGGTGGCGTGTTCATGGCTGCTTTTGTGATACCAATCGGTGAGGATAAGATTACGATCATGATCGTAGGAAAAAGGCTCTGATTGTCCTTCCGGAAGCCAAACCACAATGGATCCATAGAGACCATCCTGTCTTTGCATACCGTAATGAGCATGGTATAGGTATGTCCCTGCCTGCAGATTGATTTCAAAATTGAAAATATTAAGAAGAAATCTAAAACAAAACCAGCGGGTCCAGCTCTTACCCTGTCAACAACGAACTGGTATTTGAAGGTTTCACCAGGCAGAACAGGACACTGAGTGACACCTTCTGTTCCATCGCTCCAAGGTGTTCCAATCTTACACAAAATCCAAACACGTTTGAAAAACAAGAAACCAAACCATAAAAACATATTTCGAGAGAGATAAAACATGGGGTACCTGTCGGATTCCATGCCAGTGGACTGCGACGTTTTCACTAGCTAAGCTGTTCTTGAGCTCGACGATGACGTTGTCGCCTTGGTGGGCGTAGATTGTCGGACCTGGAGATCCACCATTAATGGTGATAGTAAGCTTTTTAAAGCAGTCGGGGGACCTTATTTCGTATTTAACTTCCCATTTATAGAACAAAGTTCTGGATTCTGCGACTAAAGATGCCGACAAGAACACGAAGAAGCAGAACAGAATTAGCAAGTATTGTGTACTCTGTAACAGCGGAGCCATTTGTTGAATAGTGTTAGAGCACTTGTTTCCCAAACCCAGAAGTCTAAAAATCATATGAGATCTTGGGATGTATATAAATATCCTACATCAGTTGACTCAATCAAATCCTGGTCCAAGTCAACGTACATCCCAAGTTGCCATTTCATATATATCAATATTCATTTAAAAAAAAAAAAAATTGGTAGGATTAAAAAAATCAAAGACCAATTTTTTTAAAAAAAAAATTACCATATTTACAAATATCCTAATATCTTTAGCTATACATTGCAACTTGTTTGATAATGATAGAAGTGGTCAAAAAGCATGCATGTAAAGAAAATAATCTCGTGACATATTTAAAGTGGAAGTCGCGTGATAACGAAAAGGATGGATACAAATGAAAATACAAAAAAACTAAACTAAATGTAAGAGGACAAAAATCATCAAATTAGTGTTATAATTCTTATTTTGTTTTGTACGTTGTTTCTTGGGAAATGTCTTAGAACCATCTTTTGAATTTTTTGTATTTTTCTTTGACAAGAATAAGTTGGAAAAATTTGACGCGTTTAGATTATTCAAAGATGTTGGAAGTCGTGGTCTAATCTAACGTCACAAATTTAAATAGATAGATAAAGCATAAATAGACATATATCCAATGGACCACTTTATTTTTTCTTTAAGCAAAAGTGTAGACAGACGAAATAAGAAGGTACGGGGAACGAGAGGAAAAAAAACAATAAATTGAAATTTTTAACCTTAAACTTAAAAAATGTTTGAAAAAATGTTAATTTAAGTTGATAGGATGTTAAAGAAAAGTGAAATTAAATTTGAATTATATTAAATTTTAGGATTTTGGTTTATTACTAATTAAATTAAATTAAAAGCATATTCAAAACAATAATATTGATTTTGAAGGGATAGAAAGAGGGCCCAATAGAAAGGTGATTTGGGCCTGGATCCTTTTGGTCCAACATGAAAGGACAGCCCACGTGTTTTGATACCCATGGATTCATTTGGGTCCGAATAGATGGACCATGACAGAATAATTTAGGTTAGGAAGACATGGGTTCAAAGGTTCCATCAATATTCCAAAGCGATGCCGCATGAACGGTATTTGGTGGCAAAAAGCAACAGGAAAGAGACAACAAAAGTATATTCTTAACGTTTGTTTATGATGAATTCTGGGTTTAATTGGAGGTAAGCACTTCTTCATCCATGGACCAACCCCTTGACTTTAAGTTCAAGATAATCAAACCCTCACCACCAAGACTCCTCTCCTTTCTTCACCCATTTATATCCGTTGGATATTAAGAAGATGCACAAAACTTTATGGAAGCTGAGATCGTCTTCTTCGACTTGGAAACTACAGTGCCCAATAGAATCGGGCAACGGTTTCGAGTATTGGAATTCGGTGCTATTGTCATCTGCCCCATGAAGCTTGTGGAGCTTCAGAGCTTTGCTACCCTCATCAGGCCGAAGGATCTGTCGGCTGTTTCATTGAGGTCCACCCGACCTGATGGGATAACAAGAGAAATCGTTGCCACTGCGCCATTGTTTGAGGAAGTTGCAGACAAGATTTTCAGCATCTTGAATGGAAGGATATGGGCAGGCCATAACATTCGAAGATTCGATTGTGTTCGTATTGTTGGATGATGGAAGTCTCACATCGACTAATTTAGGGTGTGATCATGGGTTTATAAGTGAGGAATACTAACTCCATTGGTATGAGGCCTTTTGGGGAAGCCCAAAGCAAAGCCATGAGAGCTTATGCTCAAAGTGGACAATATCATACCATTGTGGAGAGTCGTGTTCGTCTAACATGGTATCAGAGCCATGCCCTAAACTTAGTCGTGCCAATAGATTGGTAAATCCTCAAATATCGAACAAAGAACTCTTAAAGAAAAGGAGCTAAGCCCCTCCTCGAAGGCAGTCAAAAATGACTAAGACTCCAAAGGAGTCGAGCCTCGATTAAGGGGAGGCGCACTTTGTTCGAGGGGAGGTGTTGGATGATGGAAGTCCCACATCGACTAATTTAGGGTGTGATCATGGGTTTATAAGTGAGGAATACTAACTCCATTGGTATGAGGCCTTTTGGGGAAGCCCAAAGCAAAGCCATGAGAGCTTATGCTCAAAGTGGACAATATCATACCATTGTGGAGAGTCGTGTTCGTCTAACATGGTATCAGAGCCATGCCCTAAACTTAGTCGTGCCAATAGATGGGTAAATCCTCGAATCCTCAAATATCGAACAAAGAACTCTTAAAGAAAAAGGAGCCAAGCCCCTCCTTGAAGGCAGTCAAAAATGACTAAGACTCCAAAGGAGTCGAGCCTCGATTAAGGGGAGGCGCACTTTGTTCGAGGGGAGGTGTTGGATGATGGAAGTCCCACATCGACTAATTTAGGGTGTGATCATGGGTTTATAAGTGAGGAATACTAACTCCATTGGTATGAGGCCTTTTGGGGAAGCCCAAAGCAAAGCCATGAGAGCTTATGCTCAAAGTGGACAATATCATACCATTGTGGAGAGTCGTGTTCGTCTAACATGGTATCAGAGCCATGCCCTAAACTTAGTCGTGCCAATAGATGGGTAAATCCTCGAATCCTCAAATATCGAACAAAGAACTCTTAAAGAAAAAGGAGCCAAGCCCCTCCTTGAAGGCAGTCAAAAATGACTAAGACTCCAAAGGAGTCGAGCCTCGATTAAGGGGAGGCGCACTTTGTTCGAGGGGAGGTGTTGGATGATGGAAGTCCCACATCGACTAATTTAGGGTGTGATCATGGGTTTATAAGTGAGGAATACTAACTCCATTGGTATGAGGCCTTTTGGGGAAGCCCAAAGCAAAGCCATGAGAGCTTATGCTCAAAGTGGACAATATCATACCATTGTGGAGAGTCGTGTTCGTCTAACACGTATTAGGGAGGCGTTCGCGGAGATTGGCAGGCCTGCTCCTACCCCAGTTGGGATGGTTGATTCCTTAGGAATCTTAACTCACAAGTTTGGCAAGAGAGCAGGGAACATGAAGGTAAACCGTTAAAATCATAACATACAGCAATGTGTAATCACTACATTCAGAATAGTTCTCATGTTTTGAAGTGTTTCATGTTTAGATGGCATCATTGGCTTCTTACTTTCAGCTGGGGCAGCAAAAGCACAGGTATACATACAATCGGTTAACTCCCTCCCTTTGTGTGCGTGTGTCATGCCACCTTGGTTCACATAAGTTCTTTGTGCAGGAGCCTTGATGATGTTCGTATGAACTTGGAGGTCCTCAAGCATTGTGCTACTGTTCTATTTCTGGTGAGTCATCTCATCTAAACAGAATTCCTCTTCGTGGGTCATCTCTGATATTGGTAATTTTTGTACCAGGAATCGACCCTCCCAAGCATATTGCAGGGGAAGTGGAAGACTTCATCCACCATAACAACCCGAAACAGAGCAAATGGGAAGCTGCATTGCAGAGAGGAAAGTAGTCGAAAATCCCCTCCATCGTCGCCTGGGTATCAACTGAGATCAGCTCCTTATGCAAGGGAAAGACTGGGAATTGGAAAGGTTTAGTTACAGGTCTTTCTTTATACGCATAAAGGAAACATTTTTTCCCAACCAACTGATGAAAATGTGGTGAATTGAAACAGATGGCAGCTGAGGTAAAGAATGTATTCTGCATGGCTCACCGAAAGCCGCATCTTAACGTCTTACTTAAACATTCTCGATCGCTACTAAGGTAACTGAAACCAAAGAATGTAGTCTGAACATAACAAACAGAGTTCATTCTTTCATTCTTTCATTACTTCATCTGTAAAAGAGTGATAGATGATGTTCTTGGGAGAGATTCTTTGATGCACAGAGATGTAACAATATTAGCATAATCAAACAGTTCATTCTTTCATAAATAGCAGAGTACATGTTACTAGGCAATGTTGAATGTCAAAATGTACATATAATTAATGGGGTTCGTATTTTTTTTACAATTTGGATGAATAAGTGAGGGAGGGAAGGAAGGAAGGACATGTGTTTGTCTAGTTAGTATGAACTTTAAGTCCATTCCAACTAAAGTTTGATGGGAAAGTCCAAAGGAATGGTGTTTGTTTCAAGAGCCCCACTTTATAATATAACCTCCTGCTCCTCTTCTCTCTATAATTGGTTGCAATAATTGAACAGCCTTGAAATAAGTTAGAAGAAATCTACCACACTCCAGAATATAACATTAACCATGTCACGGACGAGGCCTTGTCAATTCACGAGGTGTTGTGTCCATCACATTCACAACTACCAGACTCTTGGGAAAAGTGGGGAGGGAAAAAGAAAACAACTTTCGGTAGAAATGTAAAGAAAAAGGAAAAGAGATGATGAAGCCCATTTCGAACTTCCACAGTGTTTAGGGCCATGTGACTCCTTTTCCTTTGCCTTTGCCTTCATTTATACTGGACTTTAAATCATCTTTTGGTCTACATCAAAGCCTCACCATAACGCCCTGTATTGTTAAGAATGGTGGGGTACCATAAAGTCCACAAAATGAAACAAATAATGGAAGCCCCGAGGATGGGGCCTCCATCCCCCACCTATTGGACAAAAAAACAACATTCTGGATTACCCTTTACGAATTCATTTACTGTAACACTGTTGTTTTTTAGTGTAATTATTTGCATTAAGCATGAAGGAAGGGGCGGTGGGGTAAGAGCCAGAAAGGAGAAACTTATTACAAGGTCACAAGACGCCCTGTGCATGGCAATAACAGAGAGCCCATCCCTTCCTTCACCGCCACATAGGCTGTTGCTCTCTCGTCATCTGTGCCTTCAACCACATGTTCTCCTTTCTTCTCTTTTTTTCTAGGAATGTCCAGAAGCGCCCACAAAACGACCAAAAATAAGAGGACATACATATAATTTCATTATTTAATTTACTGTTGACTCTGATAGAGGACCAGAATTTTCTCACCACGTATCACCACAGTACGCACTTTTCCTCAGAATCACACATTTTTCTTATTAATTCAATTTCTCACCATCTCAAATCCTTGGTGTAAAGCCAAAAGCTTTAGTGGGCCATACCCCCATTCATATCATGCCACGTGTAAACGAAACGCATGCATTTTCGTTCATAAAAGGAAGCCATCGAGCACATACCCAGCAGTCTGAGGTAGAGACAGCCTGTGCTTGTTTGGTTGAGTGGAAAATTTCTAGTTTTTTTTCTTCTTCTTGCATTTCTAAGAGAGAAAGGAGAAAATGTTCATTGAGAGCTTTAAGGTTGAGAGCCCCAATGTGAAGTACACTGCGAATGAGATTCATTCCGTGTATAGCTATGAGACCACAGAACTTGTCCATGAGAATAAGAATGGTAGCTTCCAGTGGACGGTGAAGCCCAAGACTGTTCAATACGAATTCAAGACTCAAACCAGCGTTCCAAAACTTGGGTTTGTGTCTATCATCTTTATAATTTGTTGTTTTGATTATTTTCTTTTTCATCCTCTTTACAACAAGAAATTTGGTTATGTATTGTGCAGGGTTATGCTCGTTGGATGGGGTGGAAATAATGGTTCCACTCTTACTGGCGGTGTTATTGCCAATCGAGAGTAAGATTTCTCAAATGTTCTTAAATGTGAACAAGAAATGTCATTTTAGTTTCTTCTGAATGTATTAAAATATTCTCAGAGGGATCTCCTGGGCAACTAAGGATAAAGTTCAACAAGCCAACTATTTTGGGTCATTGACTCAAGCTTCGTCCATCCGTGTGGGTTCCTACAATGGCGAGGAGATCTATGCCCCATTCAAAAGTCTGCTCCCTATGGTACTGACTTTTAGTCTAAATGGGTTGGAGGGTTCTGTTAATCAAATATGTGTTTTGTTAATGTCCCATTATATTGTTAATCTACAGGTTAATCCAGATGAGATTGTGTTTGGTGGGTGGGACATTAGTGACATGAACTTGGCAGACGCCATGGCGAGGGCCAAGGTGTTTGATATTGACCTGCAAAAGCAGCTGAGGCCCTACATGGAATCCATGGTCCCACTCCCTGGGATTTACGACCCTGATTTCATTGCTGCTAATCAAGGTTCACGAGCTAATAATGTGATTAAAGGAACCAAGAGAGAACAAGTCCAACAAGTTATAAATGATATCAAGTAATATGCTACTCTAGTTTTCGTTTTGGTACATGCAATTTTCTTTTTTAAAGATTCTAATTCTCTGGGTCCTCCTAATGTGGTGATTAGGGAGTTTAAAGAGAAGAGTAAAGTGGATAAAGTTGTTGTGCTTTGGACTGCCAACACGGAGAGATACAGCAATTTAGTTGTGGGGCTGAATGACACAATGGAGAGCCTCTTAGCTTCACTGGACAAGAATGAGGCTGAAATATCTCCTTCTACCTTGTATGCGATAGCCTGTGTTCTTGAGAATGTCCCTTTTATCAACGGAAGCCCACAAAACACCTTCGTCCCAGGTATCATCTAACCTTAACATTTCAGCTCTCTTACTGGTAATGATCACAGGCATCAAACATTCTGATAATCTTTCAATTTCAGGGTTGATTGATTTAGCTATTAGGAGGAACAGTTTGATCGGAGGAGATGATTTTAAGAGTGGTCAAACCAAGATGAAATCTGTCCTAGTGGATTTTCTAGTTGGTGCTGGCATTAAGGTAAAATCTTGACACAAATTGTTTGGTATTCAACTAACCCAGTAAACCAGTGAAATCCTTCTCTTATTTGTTACTATGTTTTGATTACAGCCAACTTCGATTGTGAGCTACAACCATCTTGGAAACAATGATGGAATGAACCTGTCTGCCCCACAAACGTTCCGCTCCAAGGAAATATCAAAGAGCAATGTGGTGGACGACATGGTGTCAAGCAATGGCATCCTGTACGAGCCTGGGGAGCATCCAGACCATGTTGTAGTGATCAAGGTGCTTCTTTGTTTTGCTTATTGAAGTGTTTCCTGTGTTTGTTTATGGTTTTGGCTGATTTAAGTGTTGGGGTGTTTTAGTATGTGCCATACGTTGGAGACAGCAAGAGAGCCATGGATGAGTACACATCAGAGATATTCATGGGTGGAAAGAGTACCATAGTGATGCACAACACATGCGAGGACTCCCTCTTGGCTGCTCCCATTATTCTTGATCTGGTTCTGCTTGCTGAGCTAAGTTCTCGCATCCAGCTCAAGGCTGAAGGAGAGGTGGGTTTAAGTTCAGTTTAAGGATTGGTTGCATCTTTGGAAGCTTTTAAAAAAAAAAATGGAAAATTGAAGCTGAGTTGGTTGGTTTTTTGCAGGTGAAGTTCCATTCTTTCCATCCAGTAGCTACAATACTGAGCTACCTGACCAAGGCGCCTCTTGTAAGTACAAAATTGATGTGAACTTTGAGTTAAAGCTACAGTGGAGCTCATATAACAGTTGAGGGTATGTGTTAAAACAGGTTCCTCCAGGCACACCAGTGGTGAATGCGCTATCAAAGCAAAGGGCGATGTTGGAGAACATTCTGAGGGCGTGCGTTGGGCTTGCTCCTGAGAATAACATGATATTGGAATACAAGTGATTGGAAGGAGGAGAGTTTTGAGAGAGATTGTGCCTCTCTTCTGCTTTCAAAGTTTGTGTTTGATGTAATTGTTCTTAGGAGAAGCTCTCAGCAATTTGTATCCTCTTTTTTTTCTTTTTCTTTTTTTTTTAATTTGGTGGTCTTCTCTAAAGAAGGAAGCTTCTGTGAAGGCTGTTGTGTTGAGTGATTCAACAGCATCCATCCCTTAGTGGGAGTAGATCATTAGTGGATTAAACTACTGTTGAGTTTGCAAATTAATGGTACATTTTCAATCTCAATCTCTAAACACTTCAATTCAACATGGAACATAGATTAGTTTTGAACACCAAAAGTACGTATGTGCAGCTTTTAATTTGGTACAGCCTACTTAACGTGGTCAACCATTTTGCACCACTTTGAATAATTGTTTCACTTTTTTTTTTCTTCTTTTTTCCTCTGCGCACGCGCTGTAAATGCCTCCTCGCTCCCGGTTGTGACATCTACATGTATAGGTAGTACCCGATCTATTTTCATTCTTAATAAACATTAAAAATTTATATATTATATGGATGAGGGAGGTGTCACAGTCGAGTACTACCTGTACATATAGATCTCACGGTTGGGAGTGAGGAGGCGTTTATAGAGCCCGCACGGGGGAGTGTGTGTAAGCTCGTTTTCGTCCCGTTCAACTTCTGTTTTCCTGATTTTCCTCCCGATTCCAATTCTAACCCTATTTTTATGAAATAGGATCTAATTGGGGAAAATAGTATTTTTGGACACGCTATTTGTGTAGAAACGCTAAATAAAGGGCATGCGTGAATCATGTAAGTCACCACATGGAACTTTGGGAAGAAATACTTGTAGGAGTCGCTTTGTTATGCATGCACGAAACTTTAGTTGGATGGGTTAAAGGGGGTAGCCCTCCCCGAACAGGGAGTTGCAGCTCACTCCCTAGGTAAGATACCAAGTAGCCTCATAGCCATGGCGGCGAGGTAGCTACTCACAGGGCACCAGTCAAACACAGGTCGACGTAAAGGAACTCTTAGAGTATAAATGAAAGGACAAATAACCAAAGAAATCCCAAGGAGCTAAGGCCAGAACTAGACGTCATACAGCTCAAGAAAAGTCCATGGGAATATGTTAAAGCTTAGGATGCGATTAAAGCCTACAAATAGGGATCTTACTGAGTATATTTTTATACTCACACCGTCTTCCCCTTTTGTACCGGTCGAGGTGAGGAGATATTCAAGAGCTGTACTATCACAGAGGAGTGTCATTCCGGAGCTTAGTCGGTTTTCATAATTGGAGTATTTTGTATTTTCTTTTATATTTGTATTTCCCATAATATTTGAATTAAATTTTAGTGTCCTTGACTTTCTTTTTTTTTTTAATTTTAAATTTTATCCGATTTTTATGTTCTATTTTATCTTCTTTTAAACTTTTTTTTTATCTTTCGTCTTTTAATCTCGATTCGGTTTTTCGAAACTTTGAAAATTAGGTCGTGACAGATCAAAACAAAAGTAGATCCCTATCAATTATGTCGAAAAAGGGAACAATATGGTGAGACAAAAAATTTCTTACTCATCAAAACCGCTGTGAAATTTTTTTTTCTTATACTTTTTTTTACTTATATTTTACATTTGTTTTTTTTTCTTTTTTACTATTTTACACTTTATTAGTATTATTATCATATTAATACACAATAATTTGACTTTGAGCTATAACATGTATATTTAATTATTTAATTTGATGAGGTATTTATTATTTATAATTAAATATTTGTATAATTTTATTAAAATTATTTATTCAAGAATAATTATTAAGGTTGGTAACTAAACACAATGCATTGTATTTCTAGTATATTTATCAATGAATAAAAGTTAAATTACAATTTAAGGCATATTATTATTTTATTAATATATTATTATAATGATATAAGATTTATAAGTATATAATATAATTTACTCTACTAATACAACATTTCACCATTGAAATTGAAATATAAGCTGAACTAAATATTTACAATGAAATATTTATATAGTTTTATTAAATAATTTATTTGAGGATAATTGTTTGTGCGTAGTATACTTATTATTAAATGAAAATTAAATTAAAATTTAAGGATAATTATTTAGATTTATTTGCAATGAAATTAAAATCTAATTACTTAAAATTATTAATTTAATTATATAAAATTAAATAAGGTAATAGAATTATTAGAATAGTTAATTTATAAGAAATTTGAATAATATCTTTAACAGCAAACACAATTATTTAATTCTTTTTATAAAAAGAAAAGATGTAATGTTTTAAAATTGTTTGATATATGGGTGGAGAGTTGAGATTAAGATTGGCGGATGAGGAGGAGTTGCGGTGTAACAAATTTGATCCATTCATTCCTACTCTTCTCCGGAAGGTTTGGCGCCAAAATCTGAGCCCGCAACAATTGAAAGCAATCACTTCTCAAACTTGTTCTCCTTTGTTTTCCTAAATACTTATACCCCACACAAACCAAACCACTTAAGAACCTCTTCGTTCATATTCACCGGCTGGTTAACCCACCAGCCCGTTTCCCCCCCTCCCCCACCCACCCACCATTTCTGGTGCCTTCTTTCCCCATAAGAATGCCATGGAATTCCGGGTTCAAGGACCCAACCTCCAATCATGCCACTAATCCGAAGTAGGTCCAAATGGGAAACCCCAACAACGCCGCGCCCTGTCTCCCCCTATCGCTACCCCCTCCAATCTCCCCGCCCCACTACATCAGGGACCAAAAGGAAAAATGGGTATGCATTTCTTTTTCTTTTTCTTTTTCTTTTTCTTAATCCCTCACCATCCATATTTTTATTTATTTTTAATTTTAAAGGGAAGGGAGTTGCATGGAGCAATCCCCCAGAATCAAGAAGAGCCACTCAGAGAGACGAACAAGTCCAGGAATCGAAAGCTTAAACATGTCCATGTTTGAGCCATCCTTAACTCCACCCAATGAGACCAAGAATTATAGAGTTTTTGCAGGCACGTGGAATGTGGGAGGGAGAACTCCCAACGATGGGATGAACCTGGAAGAGTTCTTACAAGTGGAAGAATGTGCGGACATTTATGTGATTGGGTTTCAGGAAATTGTTCCTCTAAATGCGGGGAATGTGCTTGTTCTAGAAGACAACGAACCCGCAGCAAAGTGGCTAGGTTTGATAGACAAGGCTATAAACAAACCCAACACTCATTACGACTCCTTTTTTGTTGCTTCGGATCATGGGTCCACAAAAGCACCCTCAAAGGATTCAAAGTCGCTTCCTTTCTTCAGAAAGGCGTCGCTAAAAGTGCTGAGCAGGAGTCTGAGGCCTATGGACTGTGGTGCGCTCAAGGCATGTAACTGTCCAATTGAAGTGGGGACCAGAGAGAGAAGGCGGAGGAAGCTGAACGAGGGGACCTCATCCCCAGAGTTACACGATGAGGAATTTGAATTCATTTCAAATTCCGATATTTCTTCCTCCAAATTCGTGGATGAGGACAACACCAAATACAAGCTCATTGCAAGCAAGCAAATGGTGGGTTTGTTCCTTTCCGTTTGGGCTCAACAGGAGTTGGTCCCTCATATTGCTCATCTTAGAGTCTCCACGGTTCGAAGAGGGATAATGTGTCGCCTCGGAAACAAGGTCATTAACTTAGAAACAATTAATTATGATATGATATTGTTTGATTATAAACCCATGATCATTCCTTAAGTTAGTCCACTTTATTTTGCAGGGGTGCATATCCATTAGCATGTCGGTGCATGAGACGAGCTTCTGCTTCGTTTGCAGCCACTTGGCATCTGGTGAGAAGGAAGGGGACGAACTGAAAAGAAACTTGGATGCAGCTGAGATTCTCAAAGGCACCCAATTTCCCAAGATTTGCAAGAATCCCTACAGGAGAGCCTCTGAGAGAATTATGGATCACGAGTATTACTAATCACTATTATTATTATTAATTATTATTCAAAATTGTGTTTTATCAATCATTTAATTTGGTGTTGTGAAATGAAGCCGGATAATATGGCTCGGTGACTTGAATTACCGGGTTACATTGAGTTACGAGGATACCAGGACCTTAATAGACGATAATGATTGGGACAGACTGCTGCACAACGACCAGGTAATTAATCAGCTCACTTTCTTGTTTTTTTTTTTTTTTAATTTTATTTATTTAATTAAAATGGGGTGGCGATGCAGCTGACCGTGGAGAGAGAAGCTGGAAGAGCATTCGTTGGGTTCAGTGAAGGGCGGATTCAATTTGCACCCACTTACAAGTACATTCAGAACTCAGATTCATACGCCGGGGAGACAGCGAAAACGAAGAAGAAACGCCGGACTCCGTCATGGTGGGCATTAAAACTACATTCTAAAGGGATTCGTATGTATGCATACTTAATTTGTAACAAAGTATTGTGTGTTTTGTTGTTGGTTCAGGTGTGATAGAATACTGTGGCGGGGGAATGGGATAGAGCAGGTGTGCTACGTTCGAGGGGAGTCTACATTTTCGGATCATAGGCCAGTGTGTGGAGTGTTTTGGGTGGCGGTGGAGGCTAGAAACAGAAGCAGCAAGTTCAGAAAAGGACACTCGTGTTTGACTCCAAAGGTGCAGTTAGAAGAGCATGTAATACCCGAAAGGCGTAGCAGCTTCTACGGTTTCTAAAGCCCTACTTTATAGCTATGTATAGTGTTTTATAAACATGTTTGTAAATCTATAAGTCCATGTATGTATTGTTTTTGTGTTTTCTTAACCTAACAAAACTGAAAATTGAGGGGAAAAAAAAAGGAGGAGGCTTTTAGTGCCAAAAACATGTATAGAGAAAGAGAGAGAGAAAGTTTGCAGTGTAATTCCGAAGCATTTTTCTCCGTCTTCTACTACTCGTTGGAGCAGTATTAATAGAATTTGCATGGATGCCTAAGAATTAAGCATATTCCATATTGATTGCCTTAGTATCAATTTCACTTTATCCTTGTCCTTCATGAAGTGTTTTTTGGAACATATTTTGAAGTTAATTTTGTATTTATTTTATGATGTTTTTATATTTATCAATGAAACATTTGGATTTGTAATCAAATTTTAAAAATGATTTTTTTTTTTTTATTGGATGAGTGAAAATAAAATTTAGTTCAATTTTCGAAAATTTAAAATAAAAGATACCCAAAAAATGACAACGAATCGAGTGAATTAAAGAGTTTGGAGGGAGCGGGAGGGGGGATGAAGACATGCCGGGAAAGCGCGCCACCGCGAATGAAGCAACATTTTGAATCGGAAACGCGGGCCCTGCATCAACATTTGCATCATTCGCGCTTCTTCTTCTCTCTCTATATATAAATTAAAGGGGAAAAAAAAAAGAGGCAATATAATTTCCTCCGTTTTCCCCGAGAGCCGCTCTTCGATTCTTCTAATTTGGGCATTTTCTCCCTCTCGACAATCAATCCAAATCTAAGTTCAAGGTTTCGCAGGGTTAGTATCTGAGTCTCCGTTTCTCTGAGTAAACATTTCAATGGTTTTCTTTCGTCTCACCGATTCGATTCTAACCTTACAATTTTGGCGATGAATGTCGATTTTTCTAGGGTTACTGTGTTATTTATGGTTTTATTGATTTATTTTGCTTTATTTTCTTTTTGTCTGTGCGTTAACGTCACGGTTGCTCGGTTTTATTTTTTATTTTTTTTCAGAATCTTGTAAAATTGGGGTTCCTGTGTTTTTCCCCTGCACCGACTAGGATTTGAACATGAAGATTTAGGATTTATTTTCCGCCTGAGTGATTAGGCTTTCTAGTTGCCGAAGATCTAGGAGATAGATTGGTTGATCAGACTAGAGTACCCCTGCCTGTGTCCGATAATGCGCGAAGATAACATTGATGATGTGTTTGGCCACAATCGTTCGGCTCTTGGAAATCTAACCAATCGTCCGCTCAAACGAAAGCTTTCGTCAATTTTGAGTGATTCAGGGATTAAAACAAGGGATGGGTGCGGCAAACCTGTGGACGGGAAAGATGAAGAATCCAGATGCCCGAAGCACGTGCGTCTACAAGCAGCGGAATATGTCAAGGAGAACTGTGAACTTTCGTGTGGAGAAAACTGTTATTCAATGGGGCTGTCTAGGTTTAGTACGGAGAAGCTGGAGTCTGCTTGCTCTCCTGCTTCCAGTGAAGGTGATACTGTTTTGTTTGAGAGAGCTAAAGAAACTGTGCAATGTAATTTGCCGAATGATGAAGCACATCCTGAACAAGAGGATGAGCACAGAATTACAGACAGTGAAGCACTCGGACTTCCTTGCTTGCCCACTTCTGTAATCCCTACTTGCCCCGAGGATGACAAGGAAGACTGTCCTGGATTTATGATGAACAATGCTGATACTGAAGCTGCAGTTGATCCTGTTTCAAGGAATGGTGAAAAGGATATTGGCATTGGTAAAATTGGTTCAAGCAATCATGACTCCACTCAATGGTCGAGGTTACCTATATCAGAGGGTTCCAAGTCTCTGGCATTGGAAAGGTGCTCAGGATTCAAGACTGATAATTGTGCTAATTTAGGCATGTATGACGACTTGCTTAAAACATGTTCTTGTTCATTCTGCTTGAAAGGTAACTAGAATGTTATTCAATTATGCATGTAATTATGGGCTATTGAAAATTCGTTTTCAGAAATGCTAAATTGGTCTGCTTTTGTAACCAGCATCATACATTTGGTCAGACCTCCATTACCAGGACATCAAAGGACGGATTTCGGGTAAACTTGTTCATCCTTTTATAGTCACAATACCATGGTTTTTTTGGGTTAGCCCCTCTTATTGATAATCATGGTATTTTCATTCTTTCAGCACTTAAGAAAAGCCAGAAAGATGCGAGCATCTTGGCTCAGAAAAGCAGCAAAGAGAAAGATACTTATCATGATCAAGGAAATTCTTCCAAATCAAAGCTAGAATTTGATCTTTGTGGTCAGTGGATGTCACTGTTCCGTCATATGGAAGATATGTTTGCTCACGAAGGCAGCCAACTTGTAAGTGTGGATTTATAGTTATATTAAGTTTTTTTCCCATTAGAAATGTGCGTCTACCTTTGAACTGTGATCTTTTGAAGTAACCTGTCTATGAAAGAGTAGAAATATTATAGTTCCCTGAAATAACCAATTTAAGGAAGGACTGTGTCGGAAGTCCAAAAGAGCTTAATTATTGGAAGTAGTTACAATTTTCTGGCATTGTTGGCTGGTATGCCTGAGAGTATACTTTTTTAGATTCTTGAATATGTGCTTCTCCACTTTCATTTACTTCCTTGGAAGGACTTAGCGGTGGTAAATCTTGTTTTTATTTATCTATTTATTTCCCTACAGCAAACCAGTTTTGTTACCCTCAAAGATCTGAGAGAGGACTGCAAGATGAATCTGGAGATGCTTAATGGCATGCCTTTGGAGAAGCATTAGCGTGCTGTTGTTTTTCCTGCCATTCTGGTGGTTGTGGGCTGTGTGGTTAGTAACTTATGCTGTCCATATTTGTACTTTTGAACTTCTCACTCTGGATAGGGTAGCTGTATTATAAATTTGGAATACATGTAAAATCATCCGGTCTATTTTTGAATAGCTCTTATCTTCATCCTTGCGACTCCGCTTTCCTGTATATTTTCAATTGCTTTGGTCTTTGATTGATTTTAGGTAGTTTAGTAGCTTTTATCAAATCTTGTGGGACTAGGTGATATGATAGGGTTGACAGAAAATGTCAAATTATCGTATCATTTAATTTAATAGCTTTAATAATTACTCGGACTAATATTTTTCAGTAAACGTTGGTTTGTTTTATTTACAGAGTACATGAGAGCCTTGAATTAGATAGATAGAGATATTTGATACAACTGCTATAATGACAGGTAACTTGTTTGAACTTGCTCTTTTAAAGATGCTACTCTAAATTGAGAGCTGCATTTTAGTGGTTAGGGGTGGTTGGTTCAAAATTATCTTGGAAGTTTGATTTGATTGGATGGTGCCGACCAGGTTGAACTTTGCAGATTAGTTTATTAGGTCTTAAAATTAGTTGTCCAACCAATCTGTGTAGAGTTGATTGTGGTTGTGGAAGCCTTTAGAGATGCGAAGCAGAGTAAGCCGGCATTTGCATCTTCTAATATGTTATGTGCGCCACCACACTCCTCACATAGTGGGCTGTTGCCCTGTTTTCTTCTTCTTCTTTTTTTTTTTTTTTTTTTTTTTTTTTTTTTTAAAAAAATTACATATGAGTTGACAATTTTCTCAACGTCAACTTAGGGATTCTCAATAGTTAATATTATCTTCCATTGGCTTCTCCAATTTCTTGACTTATTTAGCACTATCATTGTGTTTGAAGTTTTATCACCGGCATTCTGTTCATATTTTAATTGGCTTCAATAAAGCATAGTGCGGTATGGTGCGGTGCCTGCAAGCATATGGTCAGCTATTGCTGCATTTTTTAATTGCCCATTGCCTATTGGTCATTTTCTCCCTAGCCTCTAATGTGTTGAATTTGACTGAATCCTCCTAGTGGCAACATTTAGACTATGTGAAGGAGTCGTGATTTTTTTAAGGATCCTTTCTGTCGTTTACTCTTTAATTGCTTCTTCTTCAAGAAATCCCGCTATTTGTATAATCACCTTACGAACATCCACATTTTTTGGTTTCAGTTTCAAGTTTGAAACCGAGCATTTCTTTTTCCAATGTATTCATTTGCAATCAGTAGTAATATTTTAAATTAAGTTTCTAATGTTTTCATCTAATTCTAAGCATTGTCTAATTTTTTATAAAGAAAAGCCATGGTGTGAATCATTTTCAACCACAACTTGCATTTTTAAGAGCAAGTCTAAAGTTGTTTAATGCGTTTGGTGAGATCAATTATTATTATTATTTAATATTTGTTTATATTTTATGCATTTTTAAATGACAATGTTGCTTCTTTAACAAACTTAACTGTTTGTTTATGTTTTTAACCTACTTATTGCTTCCCTATTGAGACCAAATTTGAAAATTTTATAATGGAAAATCAAATTAGTTATTGTATATAGGACATAGTTATCATTCTCCCTTCTCAATTTCTCAATTGTCTAAGTGGAAAAATGGTAAAATATTTTATTTTATCAAAGGTCGCTTTTAAAACTTGTTCATATATAAAAAGGAAAATCGATATCAACGAGTTGTCTATGAATATAGTAATGTCTTTAAACTCTTTCCTTCTTTGCAAACTAGCCCCTCACATACACAAAGAGCCTTTTTTTTTTTTCTTTTCGAAGAGGCCAAATTCTCTCTTACTATGGATAATATTTTTCATTTAATGAAGGAGCAAATGTTCGACTTATCAATATCATATTTTAAAATGTCATTTACTCCTAATTAAAGCAATGTACCTTTCCGATTTTTCTTTCAATTTAGTAATTATTGTTTTTTTAAAAAAGTTTTAATTTACTCTCTTATATTTTTCACATTTTTCAATTTAGCCACTCACGGTTTTTTTAGTACTATCCCTATTGACGAATATTGTTTAAGTTGATTGATGATAAATTTATAGAGCACATAGAATACCTAATACATTGGTTTTTTTTTAAAAAAAAAAGGACGAATTAAAAAAAATTAGAATATATGGAATGGAATTGAAAACTTGGTAAACCATAAAGTAAAGATTAAAAGATATATGGAAACTTTATTTTAGTAAAGATAACCATTGAAATTGCGGGAATCGTATTTATTTAGATTTAAAAAAAAAAAAAGAAAGAAAAAAAAGTAATGCAAATTGGCTTAGATGGAAGGAGCGCGTTTAAGTTGGCAGAAGGAGCGCGTGAGAGTCGGACCCACCCACCATTTTAGTGATCGGAAATACCATTGGCATGGCTTGGTCTGTACGCAGAGGGGTAGAGAGGAGGGGCCAGGGTGTATAGTAATTGCATCAACTCCAGGCGTTGGGATTGATGTGGGTTGACTTAACTGCGGTTAAGGTAAGCAAAGGAGGAAAGGCCATCCATTTGCGTGAAGAACAGAAAGTGGCTCTTGGTGAGTGCGTAGAGAAACAGGCCACGCAGCAGCTCTTCGCCTTAATTCCAACCCTGCCGCCGCAATTCTGCGTTCCTCCATTTGTCCTTATCGCCATCCCCACCAATTCCTCTAATTCATTGTCTTTTCCAATTTTAACTTCTCGCCTAAGTTAGAAACAAACAACAACATGACACCCTTAATTAAATACTGTATAATCGAGCATCATTTTCAGATTATTTATTTTCTTTTTTGGTTTGTGGCATATCAAAACGTAAAGTTAAATTGAATCAGAGGGTCATCTTATGGTGGGCGTTACAAATTGATTCGATAGGATAAGGAATAAGAAAATGACGTGGCTGCGCGTGCCATTCTATACCCACTGTACACCATGGATCCTGCCAAATACAATTCACTGAAATTTTGCAAGCGGGCCATTGCTAAACTTCTGCCACGTGTCTATATCCTGACGTGGCTTTATATGGTTGGAGATTCCACCTCGATTTGTGTTATCTTCATGTTGACGAGATAATTGGGTGTATGAGATAGAGAGAGAAAGGGGGAGGTTTGGGGTTATATAAACGGTGGGATGGCTACCTGTATTTGCAGGCGAAGTTGAAATTAGGCGTGAAGCAAAGAAGAGAGGGAAACTAATTCCTCTGCTCTCCTCTGTTTGATTGTGCAAGTATTATCGAGTGCTTCCATTTCCCCCCACACCCCCTTCTCTACTCTCCCCGCTTCTCTGAGTTCCCTTTCTTTTTTCTTCTTTCATTTTGGTTTTGCCATTTTGTGTTATAGACCCACAAGGCTGCTGCTCCTTTGAATGAAACTCGGGTGATTCAGATTACAGATCCAGCTTTCTCTTTTTTCTTCGTAAATATTTTTGGTTTTTGTTTTCTGCTTTGATCCACTTGGAGGGTGTTTTTGAAGTCCCTCAGGTTGGTTTTAAGAAGGTTTAGAACTTTGTTATCTTTGGATCTTGTATTGGGTTACTGAAGTTTCTTGACAACAATCATGGCTGCAGCTATAGATGTTTATACTGGAATTTCAACGCAGGTTTACTCTTCGGATCCTTTTAGCGAGGAATTAATGAAGGCATTTCAACCTTTTATGAAAAGTGCTGTTTCAACCTCCTACTCTTCTTCTTCTTCTTCTTCTTCTGTTTCTTGTCAGCCAAGATTAAGTACTGCTGTTTGCTCCCCGTCGAGCACCTGCTTGTTTTCTCAAGGCTTCTCGGGAATTGAGCAGATGGGTCTTGAGCAATCAGGTCCAATCGGCCTAAACAATCTCACCCCTTCTCAGATATGCCAAATTCAAGCTCAAATTCAGCTACCCCCACAAACCATGTCTTCCCTCTCTTCTTCTTCTTCTTCTTTCCAGTCTCAATATTGTAACTTCCTTGCCCCCAAATCCATCCCCATGAAGCTCATTGGCTCTCCATCTAAGCCCACTAAACTGTACAGGGGAGTCCGGCAGCGGCACTGGGGAAAATGGGTGGCAGAAATCAGACTCCCAAAGAACCGAACCAGGCTTTGGCTTGGGACCTTCGACACGTCCGAGGAGGCTGCTTTAGCCTATGACAAAGCTGCTTACAAGCTCCGTGGGGAGTTTGCCAGGCTCAATTTCCCACATCTCAAACACCAATTCGGAGAATTCAAACCTCTTCACCCTTCTGTGGACGCGAAACTTCAAGCAATTTGTGAGAGCCTGAAACAGGGGAAAACAGAGAAGCTCTGTTCTGCTGAGGATGAAAAGGCAAACACCAGTCCACCTCCATTGGAGTCAAACTTAGTGGTTGACAATTATTGGGAACCGGAATTGAAAAGCGAAGTGGAGACCTCATCCTCATCCTCATCCTCATCCTCGTCTCCTTCACGGTCTGAAGAATTGTCCACCGGATCATCCCCTGAATCAAGTATCAGCTTCTTGGATTTTTCAGATTCCCAATGGGGTGAAGGAGAAGCATTTTGTTTGGAGAAGTTTCCTTCTGTGGAAATTGACTGGGCAGCTCTGAGTCAAATGGTCGAATGGGAGTGTTAATTAGTAATGTTGTGTAGTTTGTTGCAAAGATTCTGCAATGAAATTTTAGGCATTTGCAGAGGTCTGGTGTTAGTGAAAGATTAGGGTGGTGAGTCAATGAAAAGAGTCTGTTTTCAAGGGAGATGCAGTTTGTCTGTAATGGGTTCTATATGGTCCATTGTGGTCTGCAGGTTCTTTTTTCTTCCCTTGCATGGCCATCTTATTTACTCCTACATTTTGTTCCAAGTTAATGTAATTAAGCAGTCTGTGTGTTTTAGTACATATGAAGCTCTTCTTTATCAATCTAATAGGAGTTAGTTCCTTTGGGTGAAGGGAATTGGGGAGTTAGGCATCACTGAGCCCATAACAAATAACGGGCCAAACAACAAACAAATCCAACAAGTCCACGAAACTGAGCCCCCAAAAATATCTAGACCTATATTATTTTGGTGTGCCGCCAATTTCGAAGTGTATAGGCACCCAACTGGGTCTTCGTGTGCTGAAGGCATCAGTCTGCAATCGTCCCTGTCTCTTTCCAATTTCCATTCGGGCATGGGAGCCATGTGTGGGCACAATTTTCAAGTTCCATCTCCACATGGGCCATTCAACTTTACA